GCCTCCGAGCCCAGCAGCCGCGCAGGCTCCAGCAGCGGAGAGCAGCAAACCTGCTAGCCGGCTTTCAAGCACATGCCTCCACAGACGTTGCCGATTGCTGCAGGACCCGGGTCCTACGGATCGGTGTGCAGCCTACCTAAGGGGACAGCACACCTAAGGACAGGGACAGGCCGCCAGATAAGGACGGGGAGTCAAGGGACAGAGGATGTCACTGCTGCCGAGCCGGTGTGTTGTGACCCTCTGCCGAGGGTCTGTCCTCACCCTGTGCGGTGAAGCGCTCCGGTGCGGAGGGCGGCGGGAGCTCCTAAGGGGACAGCACACCTAAGGACAGGGACAGGCCGCCAGATAAGGACGGGGAGTCAAGGGACAGAGGATGTCACTGCTGCCGAGCCGGTGTGTTGTGACCCTCTGCCGAGGGTCTGTCCTCACCCTGTGCGGTGAAGCGCTCCGGTGCGGAGGGCTGCGGCAGCTCCAGAGGAAAACAGTTTATTCCTTTAGTCTAAAGAAGTTTTCTTTAAAAATAAGGCCTGGTTTAGATTAGGAAAAACAGTACATTTTCTGTCCAGTTAAGCTATCTTGACATAATTAGTATTAGCTTGATTTAAAAAACTTTTGCCATCCGTTGAGTTTAATTGGAGTGAACTAACTTGACTTAAAAACAAAAAAAGAAGTTGCCCAGTCGAGACAGCAGTTAAAGGCACGAGCTCCTGTATGCAACATACTCGATTTCAAACAGTTCAGTGTTTCACAGCACTAAATTAAAATACAGCTGTCCACCTTTCATACAAATGCAATAAATTGTTTCATAGTTGAGCCACAAAAATCAAGGATTTTCCACTCTGGCTAAACAAAGCTTGCAGATTTAGCACATTTCAAAATTAATTTTCCTCTCAGTCTGTTGCAGAAATGTTTAAACAACGTAACGCTGGTTAGAAATACAGGAATATTGGTAGATCCTTTCCAGTGCAACCCTGCACGCAGAAATTAGCCCTAGGCCAACAAACATTTTAGTGATTTTATTTGGAAAAATTAAGATAGCAGGCTCAAGACCGTGCAGGAATTCTGTGTGCTAACCCACACAGTCAACATTATCCTGCTTAATGAGGATCACCACTGTATTCAGCTCTATTTCCCTATCTACAGTTAGTCACTCTCTAAGGCATCAGGTACCTCTTAATTTCTATGGCATTTTTAGACAAGAAAGTGACAACTAGTTCTCAAAGCAGAAGGATGAGAAGTGTTTCATTTACTCTCTCAAACTACAAATTCCTGTCATAACTCGCTAAGACCTTCTTCTGCCGATAGCTTTCCCTCCCCTACCCAGTGAACTGCTGTTTCACATTCTTGCATATTTTCAAAAAGCCTTGCCAGCAGCTGGAAAAGAACACCTATCAGACAGCAAAGACCACTGTCACCCATTGGTAACCGTGCCCTGCGATTGTTCTAGTTCAAGCACTAAAACAGTCAGCAGACCATCAGTTTACACGGTTCTTATCTCATAGCCATTTTGTTTCAAACCCAAACTAAATTACCAAGTCATGACTCCACCCACCTGAATTAACTTCAAATGCTTCAGATGTTTTTTTTCTTAGTGAAGCCACATGTTTCTTTATCAGCAAGCACGGAGTTTTATCACATTTATCATCACTTGTAA